CTTTCATCACTATTCCATTATCATTAAAACTGTTCTTTTTATTAATATTCTATTATTATTGCTACTATTACTATTTCTATTCTTGTTCTATTATTATTACTATCACTATTATTATTATGATTACGTCGAGTTTTTGTAAAGAAAAAAATCCGACCCGTCGATGCGAAATAAATTAAACGACCGAACCGATCGAAACATCTCGCCATTTTCCTTACGACGTGGCTCGACTTGAGAAATTTATCGTCTCGTTCCTCCAGAAGAGCGCGTAACTACATACGTAATTCCAACAACGATTCTAAAACAAACGATATTGAATCGTATGATAAAAGAAAGAAAAAGAAAAAAAAGAAATCGACACCGCGATAAATACTCGGTCGCGAGCGAACTGAATCATTCGAGGAAACCGTAGATTACGTTCCGACCTACATTTTGGTAAAATCGTACGAGGAAAGTAATGTTTATGTAAACACGCGCGGCTCACGATTATTGCTAATGGAATATTAAAACGCGAAAACCGAGCATTGCGAGAATCTCGTATCCGAGGCGATGATAATTTGCTCGCCGGGCAAAGAGGCTTGTTTAATTACTTCCACCCGTGGCCGGAGAGATAAGTAATTACAGATTACCGGTCGCCGTGGTTACGGATTGTCATAATCGTCTGGACAGCTATCTTCTGGATCGACGGAAAAATAACAGGCTGCCGAGTTCCCGGCGATCGGCACGCAATAAATTATTATAATTGAGACGCGCCGGTCTCAACGCCGGCGACCGGCGTTTTTTGTTTGCGCAAAAACGATTTACCGCGTCGATCGATGCGTGAGATAAATTCGCTGAAACGACCCTTCGTCGGCCCGTAAAACGGCTGACATTTATTTGGCCTTATCGCGTAACATCGGACACGCTGAATCACACGGTTAATATATATTTATTCGGGCGAAATTATGCATTTATCGAAACCCGATAAATCCGTCCCGAACAGCGAAAATTCCGCGGCGGCCGACCCGGACAGCTAATGACCCCAATTAGACACACGATCCAGCCGCTCCTGAGTTTTCTACGATTTTTCCTGCGAGATTTCGAAATCCCTGTATATTACACTATAGTAACAGCACTAATGCATATGAGCCGTTTATCTTGAAAGTGGCATAAGTCACTTTGTATTTAAGTCGGTCACTTTGTTTTTAAGTCGGTCACTTTGTTTTTAAGTCGATATATCTAAGGGTTTGCGTTTGAACACGTTTAAAAATATGGATGCTAACTTTCGAGAAGATTTACTTGTATTTGTTATCTCGGGATACTGATATTTTTCTCAGTACAAATAATTTCGTATAAACATTAATTAAAATCACCACTTTTCATTACGGTAAAGTGACTTATGCCACTTTCAAAATAAACGGCTCATGTGTTAGTTTATAGAAGTAACGATAAGATATTTATTGTGATTTTTAGCAAAATTGTTACGTTTGCCGTGAGTAACGTGTAAATTGAATAAATAACTCGTAAATGTACGTGTCTTTGCGGTATGAATAATCGTGAATTAAGAAATTAGTAACCCGTCATTTTGACGGGTTCCGTAGATCTAGCGTTGATGTTATATCGTTAATGTTTTATTAAAGGTTTTATTTAACTGCTGCTTTCAGCGCTCCGTAAATCTGGCGGTAATTAGAATGGGCTGCTAATTAGCGAATTTATTTAACGACGAGGTAACTATTCGAATGAACTGCTTTTAGTCGAATATTTTATTCGAATAATTCAATTATTCGTCGTAAATTATTATATCAATTTAATCCATCGAATGATTCTTTATTCGAAGAATTTTTTATTCGGAAATTCATAAACGCACTGTCGAACAGAATTGATGAAGAAAGTTATAAATGATCGTGAACACGCTTATATATATATTGCGCATATATTGCGGATTTCCATTCTCAGACGAGAGAAAAATGCGAAATTGTTCGCGCTCTCTCTCTCTCTCTCTCTCTCTCTCTCTCTCTCTCTCTCTCTCACTCCCTCCCTCTCTCTTAAGACGCTGATCCTCTAATTACGTCAACCATCGCGTTATCGACTTCTGAATTTTTCAAAACTTTTCTACGACGTTTCGATATCATTTCATACTAATAACAGTGCACCGTGCCAGCTTTCGTTCGCAGACGAGAGAAAAGTGCAGAAATATTTTCTCTAATTAGCACGAGCACCGCGGTAATCCGTTCGCTCGGGAATTTTTCGAAATTATTCTATCAGATCTCGAAAGCTCTGCATTTCGCGATGAACAATTCCGGCGGGGCAGATTTTATTTTCAACCGAGAGAAAAATCCGGAGAACGTCTCTTATGCGTTTATAGCGTAAAGTTTATGGCATCGAGTATATTGTTATACTCGATAGACCTACCTCGAGTGTAATAAAGATTCCGAGGAACAACGAGGAGCGTGGTAAATTTTATTGACGTGTTTATCCGACCCCGCGGCCGGAATAAAGTGGCTAACGCGAGAACCCGCGATTTCCATCGATTTCGATTCGATGTCGGCTATCGTTTCTAAATTCTATCTCACGCGCGCGGTCTAGACGCGCGCGCGTACGCGAACAGCACGAACGCGAACAGAATAGCATTGTTCGACGACAGCTGGCATAAAACTTCTGTAACGGTGACGTTGATCGCTGACAAATTCCTCGGGGATCCACGTCGTCGATCCACGGAAAAAGAGACGAGATCTCCCGCTGCCGATCTTCGCAGTAAATATCTCCGCGCGGTTATTTTCGTAAATCGCGGTAACGTTTATCGTTTTTAAAAAAAAAAAGTCCAGAAGCCGTTATCAGTTTCACGGATCGAAGAAGCCCTTATCGTCTGCGAACCTCGTGGAAGTATTATTGATCGACGTCGAAAATCACACGGAAACGTTTGTCTCTCGAAAATCGCGGAAACATGTGTCCGTTGAAAATCGCCGGAACATTTGTCTTGTAAAAATCGCTGAAACATTTCTCGTAGTGACAAAAATCGCGTAGGCGTTGTTTATCGCTTTCAAAAATCGCGCGCGGGCATCTGACGTTTTTAACGCTAGATTTACGGAACCCGTCGTAACGACGGGTCACTAATTTTTTAATTCACGATCATTCGTATCGTAAAGATTTTTGGGTTTCTATGAGTTATTTATTTAATTTGTGTGTTACTCGCGGCAAATGTAACAACGACACTTGTTAAAAATCAGAATAAATGGCTTATTGGTACTTTTATAAACTGATACGAAACAGCTGTTTTTGCGCTCCGTGAATCCAGCATTGAAGATATATATATAATAGTATAATAATACTATAAAAATACAATATATATATTTTTAGTAATTAGTATAGTATTATATAGTAGTATAGTATAATATTATAATAATATAATATATAATAGTAATAATAATAGTATATATATATACTATTATATATATAATATATATTATTATTTTACTATATACTATTATTATTACTATTATATATTATATTATTATTATTATACTATTATATATACTATTATTATTATACTATTATATATACTGTTATTATTATCGTTATTATTTATTTATACTGTTATTATTATACTATTATATATACTATTATTATTATACTATTATATATACTGTTATTATTATCGTTATTATTTATTTATACTGTTATTATTATACTATTATATATACTATTATTATTATACTATTATATATACTGTTATTATTATCGTTATTATTTATTTATACTGTTATTATTATACTATTATATATACTATTATTATTATACTATTATATATACTGTTATTATTATCGTTATTATTTATTTATACTGTTATTATTATACTATTATATATACTATTATTATTATACTATTATATATACTGTTATTATTATCGTTATTATTTATTTATACTGTTATTATTATACTATTATATATACTATTATTATTATACTATTATATATACTGTTATTATTATCGTTATTATTTATTTATACTGTTATTATTATACTATTATATATACTATTATTATTATACTATTATATATACTGTTATTATTATCGTTATTNTATATACTATTATTATTACTATTATATATTATATTATTATTATTATACTATTATATATAATATTTATGAATGAATATGAATATATATATATATATATATATATATATATATATATAAAAATGAAGAAAAATGAATATATATATATATTCATTTTTCTTCATTTTTAAAAATCGTAGAATTATCGATCCTTTCGAAAAATCGTAGAGGTATTAATTCTTTAAGAAAAAAAAAAGAAGAATTGCAAAGCTCATTATCGCTTCCAAAAAAACACTCGCGTCACGAGCGTGGAATCTCGATCTCGATCGGAGTTCCTTTTATCGCGGATTAACGCGGAAATCGACGCGGCGAATCGCGAAATCGGAGCTGCGGCGATATCGAACGGTAAGAAATTCTTCTGGTACGGTGGTCGGATCCGTCGGTCCATCATCGATCATCGAAGATCGACGGGTCCGGTGGTGCCGGTCGGATCCCGATGCCGATAAAATCTGCCGATTCCTCTTCTTCGATGCCGCTAGTAATTCGTGCAGCAATTTTTCGGCCGGTTCTCAGATCGCGGGCCGAATGAATTTACGAGTCAAACAGCCGGAAGAGTACTATATTTACGAAGGCATGAGAAAACAGCCTCGGTGACGACACTGTTTAAAGGTCTGTCGTTCTCTCCTGGCGCTATTCGCCGCCGTTTTATTTCTGCTTGCCGGACAGCGGGAGACGGAAACAGAGCGAGAGAGAAGGATCGCTCGAAACGAGGGGGAGAACGAGGCGAGGCGGCAAAAGGTGCCGCGAACCGCAAAGAAATAGATCGAAATCCCGCGATTTTTTTCGCTGGACCGCGGCCAGTGATAAAGTCGAACGGAGCGCGCGCCGGATCTCCGTTTCCGTTTTCGATTTCGACTTCTCGAAACGCGGAAAAACTTGCGCGCCGATCGGACGAGAATCGTCGCCTGGCGACCGCACCGTCGGATGTCTGATTACGAGAAATTCGGTGGTCCCCGACGGTTCCCACGGTCCGCGGGAATTGGTCGACAATTTTGGCCGGATGAGACCCTCTCGCGATTTTTCTTTATAATTCAAGACAAATTCGATGTGCGAAGAGTACCTTCGGAGAGAAGAGGAGCGGCGAGTTTCGATGTTCGCGGATAATTCTCGAGCGAATCCGATCGGTAGCAGACAACATACGAAACGCCGGAGAAGCGAGGAACGGTGTCTCGGGGATCTCTAAATGTGAGTAATCGCGAACTCGCGTTTACGCGTGAGAAGATCTGCGAGCAACTAGATTCTCCAGTTATCTTATTGTTTTATATTTTCGCGGCCCTTTCGAATATTTTAATTTTCGAAGCTTCGAAGATCGAATCGGAACAGCTTGGAGAACATAGCTAAAGGGGATAGAATGAAATCGAGAAAGCTTAACGAAGCTTGACGAAACGTAACGAAAGCTTAACTTTTGCGCCTCTTTTTCTATAATCTTGTTCGTTCGAATTTTCGAGAATTGTAAGCTTTGAGAACACGGGGAACCCGAATGGTGTAAAATCGCGAATTTAAATCGCTATTCTTATTTAGCATGATTTTTTTCTGTCAACAGTTTCGTTGCATATATGATTCGTCGCGAGAGCAAGCGATGGCCGCGAAAAAATCTCAGAAGATCGAGGCCCAGGTGGTCGATGCTATACGCAGGCTGCAGGCTGTCCAAGGATCGACAGCCCGAGACATCAGCAACTACATCAGCCAGGAATATGACCTGCCCAGCACGGAGATTAAGCGACAGGTCCAGGTCGCTTTGAAGCGCGGCGTCGCTTATGGCATTTTGCAGAAACTGAAGGGGTAGGTTTGTAAAACTATTCAACGTCTCGTCGTATTCAACGATCTGCTCTGTTTCTAACACTTTTCTAAACAATTGTAAATATTCTATTTACCCGAAAATAATATATTATCTATTAAGAACCGTGCTGGAGCTTTCACAAAAGTTATTCTCGTGTAACAGCGTCGAAAGCGAGAGAGATATTTATGAATTATTTTCCAGAACATTGTTAACAGTACGCGAATAAACTTTTGCGGAACTTGAAGATACATTCTCAGGCTGCTAGAAAATATTTTTTCTATCTACTATCTATTTTGTTTTTGGAGAGACAGGCGGTTCTTGTAGGTTCCGATTTTGAGCTAGAATAGGGGAAGAAAATTATATTGTCAACTTTAGGAATTTTTCCTGCTGTAACCGCGAAAGCTGTAAGAATGATCCTTGTATAGAAAAATTCTGTAGACTCTCCCCGATGCAGCGATATATTTTTTTGCAACACTGAGAACATTTGAGAACGTTTAAACAACGTTCCAAGAGAACGAGACCTGACGCACCACCTTTTTTATAGACTCTCGAAACTATTCAGCCCTTATCAACTTCAAAAATTTGTCCTGCCCTAACTATAAGATCTAAAACAATGATCCTTACGTAGAAAAATTCTGTAAACTCTCCTCGATACAGCGATATATCTTTTTACGACATTGCGAACATTTGAGAACGTTTAAACAACGTTCCAAGAGAGACCTGACGCGCCACCTTTTTCGAAGACGCCTCGTCTGAAATCGGAAAATTAGGTGAAAACCCGTCTTGACATCCGACCGATCTACCCTCAGGGGCAGCTACACGTACAACTTGGACTTCCTGGAGAGACATCCGCTAGCAAGGGCGGAAACCGGCGTGGACGCGCCGGCTCATCGTCGCAGAAGCAGCAGAAGGAAGCATTCGCGAAGACGATCGAGAAGGCGGCGGGGTCGCAGACGATCTCGTCGTCGATCCGGCAGAAGGAGGTCCGGCCGCAGACGTAGCAGGCGAAGAAGGAGGGCCGAGGTGCCGCAGGACATCGACACCATGGACGTGAACACGGTGGCCAAACAACCGAAGAGAAGCAACAGCCTCTTGAGAAACGAGAACCCGCGGAGCGACGGGTCCAGCGTTTCCGGCGCGTCCGAGGGCAAGCAGGAAGAATGATCCTCCAAGATAAGATAGAAACCCGCGATCGATCCCGCCGAGACACAGTGCAAAGATTTGCGCAAGAGAACACCCGGCGACGAGACACCAGCTGGTAAAACAACACTCTCTTGGTCCTCTCCAACTGGACTCTCCAGACCGTTTAGATCCATTTTCCTGTTCCACTTGTTTCATCGCAACCAATTTTCCTCTTACGCACACAACCACCGTTGTACACACGCCGCGGACGCTTTCTGAGTCATCAATTGACAGCTCGCGCAAATTCGCTCTCTTTCCTTCTCATTTTTCCGTTTCCTTTTCCCTCGCGTTTCGAGGAACTCTGGATTTCCCATCGGGATTCGAGCGGAAATGAAACAACTTTCGGTTTCGTTATTCCTCGGAATATTTCTCCAAATGCTGAACATTCGTGCATCGAATGCTGCGCATCGTTTCGACAAAGAATTTTAGCGAGTTTTCTTTCGCGTTGCAGATATAGATGGAAGACGCTGCCGAGGATCGAAGAAAATCGCTGAACGAGAACATTGCAAAGGGCGACCAAATTTTGGGCTAATTACGTGACTTAATCGAATTCCACGTGTACACGCAGTTTTTCCGACATGTCGTTTTATTTTTATACGGATATATTGTGACAATAAATTTTGACGAGAGTTTAGTCTGTAAACGCCAGTTAGTCGATCCATCATTGAACGCATAATAACTAGACTGCGGATTTTATGCATTCACGACTAGAATTGCTATTCTTTATTTCATAATTATCGGAGTCGCAAAGCTGCTTCCGTTAAAAATTCTTAAATATATATATTTCTTCGTTCAGGTACTGTTGCAAAAATCCTGAAAAATTTTGAACGAATTCTATCTCGTAATTCTCGCGCGACAATTTTTCGTCGCTTTCGGACCGCGGCAGGTTTAATGTTAACCCTTTGCACTCGGATCCATTTTAACTGTAAATCCAAGATAACTTTTTTTCTCGACCTACGCTGTTTCTATTTTATATAACTCGGTGCACTCTATGCACATAAAATTGAGTCTTGTAATTGATAAAACATTCACCCATTTAACAGTAGTTAAATTATGATAACGTAAAAATTATTTTCTAACATGATATAACAATTTTTTCAGCGGTGCCTCAGAGTCGCCACTCGAGTCGCAAAGGGTTAAGATCGATGAAGAGAATTTTTCTGTCGCGATTCTAATTATAACCATCGGAAACGACACAACGCAGTATCGATTGGCCGACGTACGCGCCTAAAACTCGCGAATCCAAAATTGCTTTTACGTTCGAGCTCGCGCCTTCGACCCCGGTGAAATCCGCCGTCCGGCGATTCGTGCGAGAGTGGCCTCGCGCCGAGTTGTAAATTGCACGGGCCCGGAAACGTTCGCGGATCGAATTCCGCGATCGACCAGAAGCGATTCGAAAAGAGAGACGTCCGCCCGCAGAACTCGTGGCCGTACGTCCGAGGATGACGGCCCTGCTGCTCGCGGCCTTGTTGGCTAATGATAGTCTTGCTAATGATGCGTCCGTACACGCACACGTGTAGTCGTAACGCGTGACTATTTCACCTAGCCGTTGCTCGAGCGAGCGCATTGTGGCCAGTTTCGAGGCGGTCTTGCGCACAGACGCCGAACGCAACATTCTCGCGAAATACACCGCGAAATGTCGCGGCACACGAAAGACAAATCACGGCGGAACGCTGCCAGAAATTGTGCTTCGATGTGGCACACACACACGGTGCGTCGCGATTTTTCTCTCTCTCTCTCTCTCTCTCTCTCTCTCTCTCTCTCTCTGTTTCTCTCTCTGTGTGTTTCTCTCTCTCTCTCTCTCTGTTTCTCTCTCTCTCTCTCTCTCTCTCTCTCTCTCTCTCTCTCTCTCTCTCCTTCCGCCCGAACCGTTCACCCGCTCGCAAAAATAATTGCCACGCTTCCGCATTCATGTCGGTCATGAGTAAACAAAATGTATCCTCGAAGCTGCTGCGAGAGATCGATCTATAGGACGACGATGCATGCGGCTCGCGAACATAGTTGCGTCGCGTGATACACGTCCGTCGATGCCCCTGACACGTTTGCCGACGACCGTTGTCCGTCGTAATGACGGATATTTATGCAAAACAAAAGTTTCCTATTACGATACTAGGAACTAGGAATAAAAAGAGAACAAATTTATTTCATAGTTTTCATGTTTTTACAGCCTGCGATAACGTCGGAGATAACGTAACGATGTAACTTAAATTTTTCTGATATTTTTACTCTGTTTTGCGTGTTGCACATCTATATATATGTATATATTTCTTTTATGCATTTTCTATACATTCCTAAAATCACACTTCTACGAAAGGAGTATTATATAGGTATTATTTTTATATATTATTATATAGATATTATTTTTTTATTATATATAGTTATTTATTATTATATATTATTATATAGATATTATTTTTATTATATAGTTATTTATTATTACATATTATTATATATTTACTATTTTATTATATAGATATTATTTTTTAAGTACTAACATGCCGCGAAAAAATTTAAAGAGTTTCGTTCAAACTGAAGTATCTTTATCAAAGTCTATGGCATCTTATCAAGAACATGTTTCTGGTTTTTTGCAGTCGGTTCGTTGGTGCCCAGCGACGTCATCTTCGATTGCTTTTCATTTGTAGCATTGCAGAAGATGATTTCTATATCGAGTCGCATCGTTCCCGCTCGATTGAGCCGTAGCGTTTTTTCCATAATCGTGGACAAGAGCCATAGTCGAGCAAGGAACGATCCCGCGCTACGATAATTCTATCTCGGATGAAATCGTCGGCCGTATAATTGCTCGGGATAAAACAGCCGGTTAGGAAAGGCTGTGGAACAGGTAACGCTACGTTATAGCACAGTATCGCGAGCCGAAGCGTGATTTACGATCGTGCGAGAGTTGATAGATTAAAGGTCCGTGCACATCGACCATCGATCGTCACGTTCATCGGCTAACGTGATCCATACTAAAAATACTATCCCATCGGCGAGCCGCTTTCCATCGAGCGAAACTGATTCATGAGAAAATAATTTGTGAGGAATTAATTTGCGAGCAATTGATTTGGGAGAGATTGATTTGTGAAAAATTAATTTGTGAGAAATCGATTTGTGAAAAATTAACTTATGAGAACTTAAATTATGAGAAATTGATTTGTGTGAAAAATTAATTTATGAGAACTTAATTTATGAGAAATTAATTTGTACGAAATTAATTTATGAGAACTTAATTCACGAGAAATTAATTTATGGAAAAATAATTTATGAAAAATTAATTTATGAGAACTTAATTTAGAAGAACTTAATTTAGAAGAACTTAATTTAGAAGAACTTAATTTATGAGAAATTAATTTATGAGACATTAATTTACGAGAGATTAATTTGTATGAAATTAATTTATGAAAAATTTATTTGTCAGAAATTAATTTATGAGAAATTAATTTGTCAGAAATCAATTTACGAGAAATTAATTTATCGACTAAGTATCTTAAACCCGAGCACCCTATACTACCAATTTTCAATTAGCGTAAATATCGAGACGGTGATCTTCGAGATTGGAAGCATCAATTATCAGATAAAAACGATTAGAAGTAAACTGTTATTATCTTAGCCGAGTCGGCTAATTTTACCGCGAGGATTTGGTTTCTGGACTTGACACAGAGAATGCAAACTTCCCTTTGGTTTCAGGCTATACAAATTGATGTATGAAAATTGGTGTTTGCAGGGACCTCTGTTTGCCCGTTCGCTCGATGATATTCCGGTAAATAGTTATCTGCGGAAAGGATAGTGGGAATCAACCTTAAGCCCATGTCACCGATGAAATACACAAGGACGCCGATTGCGACTCTTGCATTCGCGCTCAAAGTGCACCAAACGCACGCACGCGGTCGTATTCCGTCGCGTCGGGATCACTTCGTTCCCGGCGCTCGGTTGCACTGCCAAACGATCAACCATAAAAACGCCATAAGCAAATTGCTCGAGACGGAAATACACGTTCGTACACGAGAAACACCGATCGATCGGTCGAAACGCTTCGCGGCGGTGCGCCGATCCGAAAATCGATCTACTTTTCGTAAACGCGAAAGTGAACATGATTTTTTTCATCATTATATTTCGAACGATATTTCCCACACTAGATTCGAATTGCACTCATTGTAATAATCGTATTCGGCAAGACTTTGTAACGTCGAAGACAATCGAGAAACGAGGGAATGTTTTATCATTCTCAATGTCAAATTACACATGCCAGAAACTATTCGACGAAAATTATGCACATTTTTTATGGAACGCTGTTGCTTCACGACTGTGTTTCTCTCTCTCTCTCTCTCTCTCTCTCTCTCTCTCTCTCTGTTTCTCTCTCTCTCTCTCCCTGTTTCTCTCTCTCTCTCTCTCTCTCTCTCTCTCTGTTTCTCTCTCTCTCTCTCCCTGTTTCTCTCTCTCTCTCTCTCTCTCTCTCTCTCTGTTTCTCTCTCTCTCTCTCCCTGTTTCTCTCTCTCTCTCTCTCTCTCTCTCTCTCTGTTTCTCTCTCTCTCTCTCCCTGTTTCTCTCTCTCTCTCTCTCTCTCTCTCTCTCTGTTTCTCTCTCTCTCTCTCCCTGTTTCTCTCTCTCTCTCTCTCTCTCTCTCTCTCTGTTTCTCTCTCTCTCTCTCCCTGTTTCTCTCTCTCTCTCTCTCTCTCTCTCTCTCTGTTTCTCTCTCTCTCTCTCCCTGTTTCTCTCTCTCTCTCTCTCTCTCTCTCTCTCTGTTTCTCTCTCTCTCTCTCCCTGTTTCTCTCTCTCTCTCTCTCTCTCTCTCTCTCTGTTTCTCTCTCTCTCTCTCTCTCTCTCTCTCTCGCAGTATCGAATTCAGAAATATGGACGGATAGCATGAATGGCACAAATTAGATAATTGGTTCATTTGATCTTCTCGCCTTCGTTCCTCTCCCGTTTCCACACCTTCGTGTCGAATAGAATGGTGAAAAAACAGTCCGACAGAGCCATAAGCATACTTCATAAATTCTTGCCACGAGGCAGATCCATCGTTCACAATTAACCCGATGCACTGTGACAACGAGTCACACTCGTGATGAAGACATCATGCACAGTCGAATAAATACGAATGTCACTCGTTTCTTTTAGATCGACGCCAAGTTTGATTCTTCTGTTATTAAAATCTATGAACGAAAATACACGAAGATGCAAAAGAAAGAAGAATTGTCTCGTTCGATTGGGAAAGTTATTTTAATTTCTTATACATTTTTCGAGATAGAAAATTCCATATTTGGGGACTGTTCCACATTTGGGGGCTGTTCCACATTTGGGGGCTGTTCCACATTTGGAGGCTGTTCCACATTTGGAGGCTGTTCCATATTCGGCGATTTTCTATTATCGTTCACTCGGCGTCTACGAAAATTACGCTAAATTCGGAGATTTTTATTACAGAGAACGATTCTTATGTATTTTATCTCACCGAATTCGAATTTGGAATCCGTTCTTTTTCCAATCACGTACAATTTTCATGCAATTCCGCTTTGAATCGCTGAAACTCGTTGTTTCCAATGAAACGGCGTTTCAAACGGAGTTTAATGTTCGTCTGCTGGACACTCGAACTTAATGATTCCATGAGCCAAACATTTTGAAAAATCAACAAGTAACACGTTTTAGATAATGCTGTA